CGTTGCCCTTTCTTTTGACATCATCCCTAGGAGAGTGACACTCCCCTTTATTCATATACTATACATGCTAAAAGGTGATGTTTATAGGTTAGGAAACAACAAAGAAATTTGTCAAGCATTTTTGGGGCCGTTGTTGTGGAAGGCAAGTGTCAAACCAAGAAGGTGATTTTTGGACGACGGACGTAAGTCCCATGATCTTCATCATGGGCTGAGGTACGTTGTTCCGTGTACATAATCTTGTTTGTGTATAACTTTGTTTGTATATATTTTGTTTTATGTGGAGGCGGAACAACCGAAACCGACTTGTTAGACANCGTGAAGGGTGGAACATGATTCACTTATTCTTTGTCGAAGATCGGCTCCTTGTGTAAAATGTGTTACCTTGTAACTCCTCTACTTTGAGGGATGAGTATCACTCATTTTTCTAGTTTTAACAAAGGNGTATGTATTTTTACTCCACAGCGAGCAGTGCTGCTATGGACACTGGATCCATCTGAGCGCGATTCTTTCTTGGCTAACGAAGCTACAAAGAAGTTGACTGCAAGCAATTGGGTTATCATGGAAATTGCTTGCACCAGGTCTTCATATGACCTCTTTAAGGTGAGACAAGCCTATCATGCTCGTTATAAGAAATCCCTTGAAGAAGATGTTGCATATCACACAAAAGGGGACTTCCGTAAGGTACAACCATAACCTTCCTGGTCATTAGGGATTTGATGTTTACATTTTTAAGTACCTCTTATTGTACTTATATTCTTTGCTAAAAATAAATATGCCCACTTCGCTAAAATGAATGATCTTTCTATACAATGAAGTTTCAAATATGAAGCGAGTTTTCAAGAAACTATTGAGTTTTAGCAAGAGTAGCTCTCCAGGATCGTGTCAGTTGGTTGCAAGGCCCGAAAGAGAACGTTCATCTAGGGGGATGGTGCCCGTTGGTACTGGATTCAGAGGATTAGTGTGCACTTGAGGCAACATTCACTTGAAAACCAAATTTTGAACGCCTATAAGCATTATCAACTAAAGATGGAGGGATAATTATATTTACATATTAATCTTCATCTTTTGGATAATGGATATCTGATAAAATACATGACCTATAAAATTAAAACATTAAGTGTCTATCCAATTGACAGAACTCATACTTTCCAAGATGGTGCTTGGCTTCTGATAACATGAAGCAATGGAAGTACTCTTTGACAGGAAACTGGGACACATGGCCATAAAAACCAGTATATGAGGACTTAACAGCCTCTTATCTAAACATGCTTGCATTTCCTATTTTTAATTGCTAAAAGTAGTATTCCATTGTGGTGATTGCAAACCATGCATTAGCTGGTCATTTACTTCAGTTTTAATTTCCAAACAGCTTTTGGTTCCTCTTGTGAGTGCTTTTCGGTATGAAGGAGATGATTTAAACATGACCCTGGCAAAATCAGAGGCTAAGATACTTCATGAGAAGATCTCTGACAAGGCGTACAGTGACGAGGAGCTCATCAGGATTCTGACAACAAGGAGTAAAGCGCAGCTCAATGCAACACTCAATCACTATAACAATCATTTCGGAAATGCTGTAAACAAGGTACTACTTTTGAGACTTCTATCAGCATTTCAAGCCAGTTCTACGTTTATGCAGATATAAACTCTAGGCAAATCATGCTAGTACAAAAACTCCCAACATTTAAAAAATTTGAATTCTGAAAAAAAAATCCTACCTGTAGATGCTCTCTGATCACGCAAGGATCTGGGCAGTAGCAATTTCAAAGGAGAGTGACTTGTAATGAATTTATTATTAGGACTTTTGTGAAATCCTAATTTTCTTTCACAAACTTGTACTCATGAGGAATTAAATTTGATTATCAGACTTCTTTCACTTAACCAATGATTGTTTTATGTATGCAGGATCTGAAAACTGATCCAGAGGATGAGTACCTGAAGTTATTGAGGGCAACAATAAAGTGCTTGACCTGCCCAGAGAAATATTTTGAGAAGGTTCTCAGATTGGCTATCAATAGGCTGGGGACAGATGAAGGAGCTCTTACTCGAGTTGTTGCTACTCGAGCTGAGGTTGACATGCATCGTATCAAAGAGGAATACCAGCGGAGGAACAGCGTCCCTCTGGATCGTGCCGTTGCTGGAGATACTTCAGGAGACTACGAGAAAATGCTTCTGGCCTTGATCGGTCATGGTGATGCTTGAGCTGCACCTCTGTCCCGCGTCGGGGTTGCAGTTTACTAGTATGCAGTGAGTTAATGTATGTTATCCTGGTTTTGTGTTACCTGCTTCTTTATGTACTTTTACTGGAGTTCCAAAACCTTATGGTTGGGAATAATAATGGTGTGTTTTTAAAATCAATGAATTTGGGGTTCTGCTGTTTGCTTCTAGACTCTCATTTGAAGTGATCTCGATTACTGCTGGCCATGCTATTAGGTCATTCGCAAGCACTTTTAACTAGTTTTAGGAGATACTAGAACGAAAAGATCCATTAGATAATGAACTATTGGTTCTAAGCCATCTCTGGCGATTAATCAACAATTCAAAGTGCTTTAACCAATTGGGTAGATCAAGAAAACAGCAGTAACAACTGCAGCAGGAGCTGAATATGCAATTGCAATCCAAGGTCGCATATCCAGGCGGAAATTATTGGTAATGCAGACTCTGCTCTCAGGCTGGCGGTAATGATGCATGGTAAGGTCGCTACTAACAAATGGTGGGTGCGTGGAGAATGCTATGGATTCGAGCTCCATTTCCTTCTTGACTTTTGAACACAAAAATTGCCGGTGTATGTAGTAAATGTAAACTAACCTTGGTTACACCATGGGACCGAATCCAAAACCTTTCAGTTTTTACAGACACTGAGACTGAAATATATTATTCAATTTTTATACTTCAAGGTATTTTGGAATGTTTCAATATAATGTAATAGGCAGTATTTCAAAATAGGGTTAATTATAAATTATAGCCCGAAAGATAATTAGGGTCTAAAGTCTCAATTTGTACCCTCAAAAATAAAACTTTGTATCAATATGCATCCTCAAAGATAAAAAATCTCAATTTGCACACTCAAACATAGAAATTTGTATCAATGTGCACCTAAAATTAAATTGATAAATTATACCTAGATTCCCTCACATTTGTCATTTAATCATTTGAACCCCTTCACATTTAAAATATTACTCTTACATCTCATGACATTTGTGCACGTGTAACACATAACCCATTTTCGTTGATATATGTTAATATAACCGTTAAAAAAATATGATTTTATCCTAATAAAAAAATATAATTTCATATTACCCTTTATTTTGTGGGTCCGATATATTTTAAAGTTCAAAATCAAGCTTATTATTTGAATGTCTAATAAAATGTAAATATTTATATAATATTTTTTAATATCCAATGCAATATATCACTTAACGTGCAACCCTTTATTCTATTAGACATTCAAATGATAAGCTTGACTTTGAACTTTAGAGTATATTAAACCCATAAAATAAAGAGTAATATAAAATTATAATTTTTTATTTGGATAAAATCATATTTTTTAACGGTTATATTAACAGATATTAACGAAAATGAGTTATGTATTATACGTGCACAAACGTCATGAGATGTAAGAATAAAATTTTAAATATGAAGGGGTACAAATGATTAAGTGACAAACATAAAGGGATCTATGTATAATTTATCAATTTAATTTTAAGTGCACATTGATACAAATTTCTATCTTTTAGGGTATAAATTGAGATTTTTGATTTTTAAGGGTATAAATTAAAATTTAAATGATCTTTTAGGATACAATTTATAATTAACCCTTCCAAATATTTCAGAACAAGTTTTTAAATTATTTTTAAAAAACCGCTGGCTTATTAGTGTTGGCCCCGATGGCAGAATGAACTGCTATTTCCTTGAGTGGGTTGGACTGGATTGGTAGAAATTGACAAATTAATGTCCTAGCCCATGGTAGACACAGGCTGCTGACTGGCAAAACACATGGGCCTTGTCTAGCTCCCACACCCTTTCATTCTTGAATGTTCTCTAACCCAAGTACCACTGTAAAACAAAGGGTTCACAAAGGTCGGTACCTCTCAAAAAATTTAATAAGATAAAAGTATATATTTTAAAATAATTGGGATAAAAATATATATACTAATAANTCTGGGCATACCGCACTGCCTTTAAAACTATTTTGGGCATGTCTCCCTACCGGCTTGTCTATGGAAAGGCTTGCCACTTGCCAGTCGAAATGGAACACGAGGCCTATTGGGCCATTAGGACTTTAAATTTTAATTTGAGAATGACAGGTGATCATAGGAAGTTAGAGAGCTAAATGAGTTGGAAAAGATTCGATGAGATGCGTATGAGAGCTCCAAAATCTCAAAAGAAAGAGCCAAAATCTTTCATGATAACTCCATTGTGAGGAAATCATTTGAGCCCGGGCAAAAAGTACTCTTATACAATTCTCGCCTCTCCATTTTCCAAGGCAAACTCCGATCCCATTGGGATGACCCCTATCTTGTCAAGGTGGCCTACCCCAACGGAGCTATGGATGTTCAAAACCCCGAAAATGGCCAGACATTCAAGGTCAATGGCCAAAGACTTAAGCCATTTTTTGGGGGGTTTTGAAGAACAAGTGGTGCAGGAGAATTTGATGGATCCGATATACCCGGAAGTTGTGAAGGAATAATTAGTTTTTCTTTTTCCTGCTTTTTAATGTACAGGTTTTTATTTACTTACTTTATTTTTTTTATTCCATGTTAATTATGTTCTTTTGTC